CCTTCCCTTCCCTTCCCTTCCCTTCCCTTCCCTTCCCTTCCCATTTTCTGAAGGCTGAACAGCCGCAACTGTGTCACCTTTCCTCACAGGAGAGCTGATCAGGGTCCTCCTCATGGGCCTGCCCTGCACCCACCCCAACAGGTCCCTTCTTTCCTGCACTGAGTCCAGAGCTGGATGCAGCATTCCAGGTGGGGTCTCAGCCCAGCAGAGTGGAAGGGGCAGAATCCCCTCCCTAGACCTGCTGCCCACTCTGCCTTGGATGCAGCCCAGGGCATGTTTGGCTTTGTGGCCTGTGAGCGCCCATTGCCAGCTCATGCCCGGCCTCCCAGCCAGCAGCAGCCCCAGGTCCTGCTGGGCAGGGCTGCTCTCCATCTGTGTGCACACCTGGAGCTGCCCTGACCCAGGTGCAGCACCTTGGACTTGGCCTTGTTGGCCCTCATGGTTCACATGGATCCACTCCTCCAGCTTGTAAAACCACAAAGATATCATGTGGTTATAAGGAACTTAAAAGCTATAAAAGAAAAATTTCTCAGCTTTGACAACATCCTACTCTCACATTCTTTTTCTTTAATATATTGCAATTGAAATACTGGTGAACTGTAGATCTGTGGCTAAAAGGTTAAAGATATAGGAGCTGAAAGAGTTTCGCAGGGAGACATCAAGGCTACCCTTTCTTTTACTTGGAACAGCGTAAATTCATTAGGCAGCAAAATTTGGACTATTCATAACATTATTTCATGGCATTCAGTAAAACTGGCAAAAGAAAAAGTGGTTTGATACCTAACATCAAAAATTTTTGCAGACTGGATCACAACTAGTGCATAATATGAAAATTCACTCCAAAATGAAAAGACTAATCTCATCCTTGAGGTTGTAATGATGTAGATAAAAGGACTAAATAAACAAATGATAATGCAAATTTTTAATGCAGAAGTCATAATTTTCAAAAAAATATTACTAAAGTCAAATTCCTAAGATTATGTTTTTGACCAATTAAATCACAGGAACTTTCTAAGAGTTTTATTTTCAGAAGTCTTTGTCAATTCAACCGGTGTAAAATAAAATATTAATTTGCACAAATGTTAAGATTTTTTTTAACTTGGTGAACAAGGTAAAGGATCAATGCACAAAATTAGTAAAAATTTATTACCCTCCCCCCGTACATCTGTTGTGCACAGTGTGTCATTTTTCAAAGTTAGTGGGTTAATTTAAGTAACTCAGAATATTATTTCAAAATTTTATTTTATTTATTATTTACAGCTAATTTTCCTACCTTGGCTATAGAAAAGTCTGTGACTTGACGTGGGTTTCTCCTGGCTGTATTTTGAGTGGCAAGCAGCCTCCAAATCCTGCACATGGCCTTCCCTTTTTAGTATCATCTGTGTTGGTAGGAATTCTGGGGAGCTCCAGAAATGCCAGGTGAAGGAACTGATCTGCATAAAAAAAACTTGGAGAGAAAGAAAAAAAGTGAAACAAAAAGTATTTTTCCCCCAATCCTTCCGCAGGGATAATTGTATCAGTGGAAACAACTGGGGTAGGGCAACTGAAATGGCAGCAATGGAACTAGGTAAAGAATCCACATAGAACCTTTCCTGACTGTAAAAGGTTCAGCCCTTTGTGGCAGCTAGTTGATTGCTTTTTCCCCTTGATATTTCAAACTTCCAACAGATGACTCTATACTATAAACAGTACTTGGGTGAAGTAATAGCTCCTAATTCGACCTTTCATACTGAAATGCCATTCAGGTTGCTGCCAGTAAATGCCACATGGGTGTATTAAGTGTTATGGCACTGTCCTGTCTTCCATTTGTTCAGAAACTGTTCAGTCAGCTGACATTTCTGACATATAAATTACTCTGAATCTCAGAAGTTTGTTTGGTTTTCATTTACTAAATACATTCAAGTAGATATATCCAAGGCAAACAAAATTAAAAGTTAATGTGAAAAAGTCAGTGAGTCATTCACTTTACTGACTCAGCAGCACTTGAGATAGTAAACATTAGTATTAAAAGGGAATAGCACTAGTAGTTCTCTAGTAGGATAAGACATCTATCTACTTATTTCAAATAATGCATTACCTTATCATGGTCCACCAAAGAGGGGGAATGCTTCAAAAGGGCTCCTCCAGAATCACAGGAAAGAGGAGACAATGTAGGGTTTATTCTGAAAAAGAGTTTTGAAGAATAAGACTTATTAAGATATGGATGGTGGAGCCTTAACGAATTCAAAAGTTTTTATTATTAAAAAATGAAACATTTGAAATTTTCCTAATGCTTTTGATTAGTATGCTTCCATGGACAGAGGACGTACTTCAAACAGGTAACTTTTATTGGCCTATCTCTGAGAGGAAGTACTGAATGCTTACCTCTTGCAGTTACTGGTGACTTAATAAGAGTTTGGTGGAAGATTGCAAAATACTTTCCATCACCAATAGCTTAGCATTACTCTGCTGCCTCATAGAATTACCTGTTTTATTTTATATAATTTTATCCAGTAAAAGACTGCAAGGAGAACATAATTTTTTCAATGATTCTTTGTTCCTCTCACAAGCTAAAAAAAAAAATTTATTCCTTGCCCCACCTTTATGGGCTGGGTCATTCAGATTTACCTCTGCTGGATATTGTTGACAATTTATGGTGAATGAACCATTGCTAGAGGCAGATTCTTGTTGGTTTAATCTGAATTGTGTTTCCTAAAGCCCTGATCACTTATTAATCAGATTCATGTACTCTTGAAAAATGAATTTGTATGCATCAGAGCCACACGGAGAGGAGGGTGAGGAGGACAAAAAAAAAACAATTTGGCAAGCAAAAAAGGGCAAAGAAGAAGAAAGATGAAGGACTGACTGTAATCATCTGGGAAATAAACACTAACAATAAATGGAAAATGCTGGTAGCAGAAAAATATTATTAGAAATTTGCTATCAAGTAAAATGTTTTTATTAATTTATTATTAAGATTATTATTTACCCTAGAAATTAAAAATTAGTGAAAACATTCCAGAATTATCTCAGTGACAATGATGTAGTGAAAGGATATAAATCAGAAGGAAGCAAGGAAGGATGAATGGGATGCAAAAATTACTTTAATAATAAACTTCAATTTAATAACAAACTTCAATTTGTTGGTGAAATAACTTATATGACTGGGTTATCTGTCACAGCAGATGACTCAAGAAGTAGAAGGGTTTTCATAGGGTTTTAAATGCTCTGATCTGATGAATACAGAAGAGAGAGGACATGAAAAAAAACAAAGGTCTTATGACCAGCGTTGAAACTTGTTCATATGTCGTATTAGGCAAGCAATCTCATTGTACCAGTACAAACATGAAAATTAATAGGTTAGATGACAGAGAGCATTGTATTTTCTTTTCCTAAAATGACAAGGAAAAAAGGTAAATTACAGTTCAAGTCGTAAATGAAGAGAATTTATGCCTTTGAATAGGCAGAAGTAGGGGTAGGTGGAAATTAACAAAGTTCCAAAATATGAGAAGGATAATTACACTGAATTTTATAGGCTTTCCAATAAGGTGTTGAAATTGTTAGTTTTTCTGGCACATTCGTCATAAGATTTATAATTTTGTTTTTCTACCATCGCAGGATGCATAATACTCTTGTGCCATTATTAAATAGCATGGATTTCTATACCTCTTGCAAAGCCCATATTTGTGGGCCTGGATCAAAAGCACTTTCCATTTAAAGCCTGAGTTGATGAGTTTGGGGTCAAGGATATAAGACATACATATGATTTATCAAACCCTGTTGCACATTTCTTTATGGTGCTTTTGTTTCATTGCAATTTATATCTGCTTTACTTCAAAAAATAAAAGGATTTTTAAAATTTTTATTATTTGAGGGTAGTAAGAAGAGTCTCCTTATGATGTAAGTTACATCTTTCTCATAGAAGTAGGACCAACAGAACAAATTTAAGTGCTGCATTCAATTTATTAGTACAATTTATTTGCTTTCTTTTTCTAAGCAACAGTTGCAAGGGACAGTTGAGTTTATAAGGAATCATTTACAGTTTCTCTTTGTCCTGGAACACAACAATGAGGGCTGATCTTATAACTTGAATTAGAACTAACTAACTTCCAGCTCTGTTACAGAATACAGCAAGAGCTGTGCTAAACCACAGACATGAAAAACAGATTTGAAGGAGGCAGAAAAACCAAATCTTTCTAGATCACGGATGTATTAGTTAATTAAAGAAGTTCTAGGATTCCTCTAAAACCTTGCATGCAAGCTAGAACAAGCTGGATCTCCAGCAAATGAATCCTCAGGACAGGCAGAGGGGGGTGAATTTGCTGTTTTCTGCTCTCGTAGCAGGCATTGCCCAAAGTGTCTCATGAAGTCCTCTGAGCAGTGCTCCTGCTTAATTCCTCACTCATATGATATCTCTATCAGTTCTTCATTAGGGGATGCAAAGCATAGTCATCTATAATTCACTTATTTCCCTCTAATCACCCACAGCCTCCTCATTTCTCAGCGAGTTCGCTACAGTGCCAGAGGCAAATCTCTCCAAATCCAGTGCAGATCCTTTCTAATTACACGTTTAGGCCTTATCCTGGATGAGCACTAGTAAAAGCAGTAAAACGTTTGCAAAAGCAAACCCCATTGTATTCAAAAGCAAGTTATGATTCAGTCCATTTTTAGCTCTTCAGAAATTACCTCGTAGAAGAAATTAAGACACACAAATTCAAAAAACAAAGATCAATACAGGAGACCTTTGTCTCTCTAAAGCACCATAAGAAAAACTGACAGCTGAAGGGAAATATATTTTTCTCCATGGTCACTGGGGAAATCAAGACAAGACTTCAGAAAAGGAAACAATATAGTTTTAGCAACCATAAATAAACTTCCTTAGAAAGAGTTTAAAACAGAGAATCCAAGTGACTTCAAGAGTTATTTTAGTTGGTTTATGGGTAGCAAAGGATGAAATAGAAAATTATGATTACCACATCTCTGAAAAAGTGATGTGAGACTTGTGTCTCAAGTCTGCTGAGACAGATACCCTTTCTGATATTTTAAGAGCTCTCTGTTAAATATACAGCAATAAAATTATGGAATTGATAAAATTAGCTGCTTTATCCAAATGACTCATCACATTTTTTCTTTGCTTTTAAAGACTTTTTCCTTTGCATTTTAAGATGGATGATCTATTAAAATTGATTGATATATTTATTCTTATTAAAGTAAATAAATTTAATATCAAAGACGGTGTGAATTGGTTAAGAAGCAGTGTCATTTTCAGTATAGATTTTCTTGGTGTTTAACACCAGCAAATCATGCTGTGCTAGGAATGGAAGATAGGAAGCTTCTGGTGAGCTGCAATACAATGATTGATTGTACTTTTCTAAAGTGAGCACAATTTACCTGCCATGCTAAGATTATTTTCTTTGTTATTTACTTAGTATTTTTGTTGATCAAAACTGCTGGCAGTAATTGCTGTCAATATACAAACCTATTGCTTAAATCTTGACAAATAAATGCTGTATTTCTGAGCAAAATTTTATCACCAGTGTGAGTTTTTCTATACTGAATTTATGCTTACATCTTCACATTAATTTCCTTTTTGAAGAATGAAGTTCATTTCTTTGTGAAGAGTAGAATTTCAGAGATTCAAAATTAGAGAAAATACTTTCTTAGATTTCTAATTGTAACAACTGAGTTAAATGAATAAGATGGATATTGGTTCAGTATTAATCTCCTTGATCATATGCAAAAAAACCCTATACAGCAACATAGGGTCTGAAGTTTTTATTTTGCTACTTTTGTAAGTCAGAAGTAATTAGTCACACAGTCCTGCAGTGGTTTTTGCATCCTAAGACTATTCAATTATTGAGGAACATGCTAGTGTTGTATTTTACAAAGTTATTGAAGTTTTTTTTAAAAACAAAAATACATTCATTCAAGAACCATAATCTGGTAAATGGAGAGAAAATTCCTTATATTAAAAATTCCAATCATCTTCATTTCTATATTTTCCTATTCCCAAATGGACAATTCTACATACTTTATTTAATAGAATCAAGGACTCATTAAGGTTGAAAAAGACCAGTAAGATCATCAAGTCTGATCTTTGTCTGAACACTACCATGCCAAGTATTCCTTTAGATACAGCTAAGCAACAAGGTATTTCATCTTCCACATTAGTCCGTGTATCATCACAGCAGTACTCTGTAGTGGCAGCATCACAATATTCTGTTTACAGAAAAAGAGGTTGGTGTGGTTTTACCCCAGGTGGCAGCTCAGCTCCCCTGATGGAATGCAGGAGAGAATCAGAAGAGTAAAAGTGAGAAAATGCATCATTTGAGATAGAGACATTTTAATAGAGAAGGTGCACGTGTAAGCAAAGCAAAACAGGGAATTCATTCACAACTTCCAATGGACAAGGATGTGCTCAGGAAAGTAGGACTCCAGCATGCATAATGGTGACCTGAAAGACAAACACCCTCACTCCAAAAGCCCCTTCTCATTCCTTATTCCCCAGCTCTATGTGCTGAGCACAATGCCATATGGTCTGGAATATCTCTTGGATCCCAAGAGAGCAGCGATCCTGTCTGTGTCCCCTCCCAGCTCCTTGTGTATCCCCAGCACCCTTGCTGGTGGGGTGGCTGAGAAGCAGAAAAGGCCTTAGTTCTGTGTAAGCACTGCTCAGCAACATTGAAAAAAAATCCCTGTGTTATCAACACTGTTTTTAACACAAATCCAAAGCACTGCCCCATACCAGGTACTGTGAGGAAAAATAACTCTATCCCAGAAGAGAGATAAAAAGATGAATGTTTAATTGCATGTCAGAAAAAACAGCTATGATAATTAAGATTCTGAAATTTGCTATTCCAAATGCTACATTTCTATTCAGGATGACTTTATAAATTGAAAGCCTAACTTTCATCTGGTTGTCTAAAATGAAAATGTTTTTTCAATTCAGAATTGTTACAGAAAAAAAAGAAATTACACCAAAGCCTAATTTGTTTATCAACCTATGCATAAAGACTGGTATTTTAATTTCAAAGGATGAACTATGTCTTCTTTTCATTCTTCAATAATCATCATCATCATCATCAACATCATCATAGTATTTTGTTCTGTTACTGATTGTATAGTTTTTACTGGCTGCTTGAGGAATTTCCCTGTAAATATTCCCCAATATTTCATGGCGTGT